TAATTGGTTGCAAAGTGCATATCTAATTACAACATCCCGCCCCTGCCACAGAGATGTTCAAATGTTAATTATAACATATGCATCTCAATAACAGACGTTAGCATTTAATACAGCGTTAATAACTGGACTTGGGCCGCCCAGTGCGTACACAAAGCTCCCTTTTATCTGCCATTAGGACGGACTTAGCACTTAAAGCAAGGAAGTCCTCATCCTTAAAGCCGTCCTGTCCCTAAAATCAAATGTTTCCCTCCAAGCCTGGATCTCGCCTAAGCCCCCAATTCTCCCCACGCGGAGGTCCCCACCCAGGGCTGCGCCAGCACGTGGCGGGGAGGGGAACGGGCGTTGGGCGTTGGGCGTTGGGTTTCGGCGTGGCCAGACAGGCTGTCTCTGCTGCTCAGGCACATCCCCGGCGTCCCGGCGGCGCCCCGTTCTCCAGGGCCCGCCATCCCGGTAAAGAAAGGCGAACTACATTACCCATCAGGCCTCCCGCCGCCCTCTTTCCTTTCAAGTCGTTGCACGTGGCCGGAGGGGAGGGCGGGGCCTGGACGTCACTCTCCTACATTCTCTTTCCCTGTGTCAGAGCGGGTATCTTTTTTTTTTTTTTTTTTCGTTCCTCTACTCCCTCTCCCCCACCCGCCCCTCCCTCCCTCTTTCCCTCCCCTCCCTCCCTCCCCTGTCGCCTGGGTTTGTGCGCTGGGGCGCCGGAGCCCCTCCGCAGCCGGGACGCGCGGAACTCGAGGCTGGAGTCGGCTCTCCCGAGCCTCCTCCCTCCCTTCTCCTTTCCTGCCCCCTTCCCCCACCCCCCGACTAGGGCTCGGAGCGGCGGCCAGAGGAACCCCGAGGTGAGCATCCCCCCGTCCGCCCCCCTCTTTTAGTCATCTCTGATTGCCTATCGATTCGGGGACCCGCGAGGAGGGCTGCGTGACGTGCGCGTGCTTATAGATAAATCCGGGAAAACCGACCCAAACAATTAGCCCCCTTCCCCCCTCCCTGCGCCCGGGGCAGCCAGGAGTCGGCGCGCATCCACCTTCCCCGCCTCTGTCGAGGACCGCACTCCACGATCTCTCCCCCTCCCGAGGTTTGCCCCTTCCCTGCCGGGTTCCCCGCCAGTAGGGGAGCCGTATCTCTGGAGCTCCAGTGAGGAGGGGGGGTTCTTGGGGGGCGCACGGCTGGAGCCCGGCTCGCGTTGGAGCCGCTTGGTGTAGCCGCTGTCATGTGCCAGATTCCGACCCGGGGGGAGGAAGAGAGCGAGCTTGATTCCTTTCTTTTGTTTTGAAGCCCGCATTTGCTGCATCAAGCAGTTGGTTTAGTACCGGCCAAACTTGCAGCTGTTCTGGCCGTGCTCCACTGAGGTAGGGTGGCGGCTCCCGGAGGGACCCCGAGAGAGTATCTCCACGCCGCCCCTCCCTCCTCTGGTGACTGATTGTGTCTGTGGCGGCCGCGTGTGTGTGTGCGCGCCCGTCCCCGCGGGCGCGGGGATGTCTGTCGTCTAGACAGGCTGCACCCTCCCTCCGTCCACGGTGAGCCTGCGGGCCGCGGGGGGCGCGGGGGACGGGAGCAGAGGAGGAACCCGAATCAGTAGATCCACTGAGGTCGCGGCTTTGGACATGCCCCACGGCGGTGATTCTGTTGGCTTTAAAAATATATATTATTATTATTCATTCCTGTCGCCGCGGTGTAATTGGGCCTGGGGAACAGATCTGTCCGGCGGAGCCGGGGTTAAGTTGACAGGCTCTGAAAAGCCAGCTCGCGGTGGCTGGTGACCCGGGTTCCGGCTCGGGTCCTTCAGCGAGCAGGTGACTGTCCCGGACGCCTGCCGTGGTGGGGGTGTGGGGGTGGGCGGCGGGCAGGGGGAGCGGTGGCTTGTCTGCGGCGGAGCTGTGCTGCCCCTGAGGGCCGGATGCTGGAGCCTGGGTGCATCTGAGGGAGGCGTCCCGGGGACCGCGCATCTGAGTTGGGTACGTCTCTCCATTGACGTTAAATGACAGTCGGGAGTCTGAGGCCCTCCTGTGGGCGGCGTTGGCTGTTTGGTTTCGTGGAGTTTTCAGGGTTGGGGTTCGGGGGCAGGTGTGAGCAGAGAGGGGGTTGCGGCGTGTAAAGGGGAGGGGTGGCTGGCGGCGCGGTGTGCATTCCCACCCGGGGGGTGAGGCGTCGCCTCCCGCGCCCAGCTGTTTGTGTGTGTACACACTGCTCTGGCGTGTGTGGGGGGGCGGGGACCGCAGACCGCGGCGTCGTGGGGACGCGCTTGGGCCCAGATCGCTCGGGGTATCGGTCCCGCCAGGGCTCGTAGTGGTGTGTGTGTCCGCGCTCGCGCCTGGGTTACTTGGAGAGGGGAGTCGTGCGGCTGGGGGCCCGGGGAGACCCTGGGGTTGCGTAACCCTCCCTTCGCGTCCCGACGCCCCCCTGATCCGGCAGACTGTCCACCTACTCGGTGGCGCCGGGGGCTGGTCTGGCTGGGCCTGGAGGAGCCGCGGGCGCTCGCGCGTTGCCCCCCCACACCCCTCGGTTGACCCTTGGCCGGGGGCGCTCTGTGGGTGCTCGTGCCCGCGCCTGCTGCCGCCTTCGCAGATCCTGGAGAGAATCAGCGCGCTCTGCGCACCCCCTCCCAATTTTTCGACCTGGAGACAGTGGGGGCCAAAGGCTGTCCGGCCTGACCGGCCCCGGGCCCAGCCCCGCGCTGCCTCCTGCGCCGCTGCCGGGTGCCCAGCCGGCCGCATGCCCTTGCCGGCTCTGTCCGCTCGGCGCTGGGTCTCTGCGGCCGGAGATTATCTCCCAGGCTAGGGGCCCGCGGGCAAAGGGAGGAAGCCGCTGGAGCTGCGGGCTCCGCGGCGGCTGGAGGCTCCCGATGGCGAAAGTGACACAGCACGAGCGCCGCTGACCGCCCGAGCTGGAGGAGAGAGGAAGGAGCCGCCCAGAGGGCGGGGAGGGGCCGCAGGCTGTCCGGCCTGTTTCCTCCTGTCCAGCTCCGGGTCTGGGCCGTAAACCTCAGGGATCCCGGTATGAGCATGCTGGGACCGCGCGAGAAAATTGCCTGGCGTGCGAGAAAACCCAATCATAGTGGAACAGAACGCACCGAGCAGACGTTAGAAGATGTCCAGTCCCTCACAGGATACACTCCCTTAGAGTATTTGAAACAGGATTCGATTTACACACAGATCAACTCATCTGCTGTGTCAAGTGTCTGTCCTGGATAATGTGCGCTTGGAGCAGTAATTTTGTAACGCATTCTGGGATACAGTGTCATCAGTGATTAAGAGATTGCTAGAATAGCAATATGTTTGTATGACTTTACTGGGCAGTCCCCCACCGCATCATTGCATTTATTAAGAGGGTCCCATGAGGTAGGGGGATATTAACCCCATTTTACAGAATAGCACATGGAGGCTCAAAAACTGACGTGACTTGCCTGAGGCGTTTCTGTGATTTCACTTCTCAGACTATGGCTTTTAATTAAATAGTGACCACCTTAAAGTGTAGGTCTTGGCACCTCAGGAAATACTGAACCCAAGAAAGGGAGTAAATTATGGTATTTATTCTTTGTCAGAAAACACTTGGTTTGCTACCAGTCCTAATGAGAATAAGTATTAAAGAACAGAAGTCTGCATTGCTGTTGTTATCACTCATCTGATAATTTACTGTTGGTGAGTGATCGTCAGCTTTGATACATGCAGTATGTATACCTGCATGTAATAAATACATATGGATGTATGTGTCTGCAACACATGCCTGTGTTCATATGGGTGTGTTCGTGGGGTCTTTATTGAATCTAAGGTTTATTCTTTACTTACTGGTTCCAAAACCATGGGTTTAAAGTATAACTCCTGAGAAACCCCCCGGGAACCTGCCCCCTCCATCTCCAGGGATGGGGAAGCCTTGAAACGAACAAAGAGCTCCTCCATAACTGTATGTATTTCTCCGAGTTCTCCCACATGAAGGTTCTCAGACAGAGCCTGGAGGGTTATTAGGTTTGGTCAGGTAATCAGCTATTCATTCACAAATATGTATTGAACACCAAAATGTTTGTGTATCTTGAAGTGCTTACAAAGAAAATTTAACATAGTGGCCCTGCCTGGCAAAAACATCTTCTAGCTGTGGAGATAAATGTAAGATTTTAAGTCCAGCAGATGTTTGTTGAGCACCTTCTGTAGTCTAGATACTCTGCTGTGTTTGGGGCACACAAAGATAGGATCGCAGAAACAGCTAATTTGCAGTGCAGAAAACGGATGATTCAGAGCCTGCAGGAGGGAACAAATCATAAATATTTTAAAGCACTCGCCCTGGGACTTAGTCAATTTCACATATGTTGGTTGCAAGGGACTCATAATGCGAGTCCCTGTGCTACAGCAAATGCAGAAGGAAGCAACAGAGGAAGAAGAGCCTTGTTGCTCTGAACTTCAAACTATTTGGAACCTCCCAGGTGAGCCCTAGAGGTCTGTCCTTCTGTAGAGGTTAGGCAGCTCATGAGAGATGACCCTGAAGCCAACCAACAGTTTAGTCTGCTGAGCAATGAAGAACTGACAAGTTGTTCTCTGTGCTCCTGGCCCAGCTCTGCTGGACAGTGATGGGCTGTGATAGGCTGTCTTCAGTGGCTTTGGTCAAGGTCTCACTCAGGCCTTGCCTGAGTTTAGTAGTTTCTGTCTCACAGGTCTATGGATATGTTCTAATATGAGTCTGCTTTTTAATCTATTCATTCTCCAACCCACTTCCCGGGTCCTTGACACTGTTTTCCAATTTCATCTCAGTTTTGGGGTCCACTGCCCTTGTTTCGTTGTTTTGTTTTTTTTAAATAAATTTCGTTTATTTATTTATTTTTGGCTGTGTTGGGTCTTCGTTGCTGCATGCGGGCTTTCTCTAGTTGTGGCGAGTGGGGGCTACTCTTTGTTGCAGTGCGCGGACTTCTTGTTGCAGTGGCTTCTCTTGTTGTGGAGCACGGGCTCTAGGTGCATGGGCTTCAGTAGTTGTGGCGCATGGGCTCAGTTGCTCCGCAGCATGTGGGATCTTCCCGGACCAGGGCTCGAACCCGTGTCCCCTGCATTCACTGCCCTTGTTTTAAGGTTCTGTTGTTTGCAGTTCACATGATGAAGGAGGAAGCAGGAGGTGGTGGTTAAGATGGGGAGAGAATCCTGAGCCCAGAGAAAGAACAGGAGGTACAAAACAGACGGGCAAGTTGCAGTTTTGGGCAATTCTCCAAACCTGATGGCATTTCTGCATAGCTTACCCAATAAAGTGGCAGCCCCTTTCGGTGTTCTCTTTGAGGGGGATCCTCTACCTCTGGGCCTCACTGCTGACTCGCTGGTCACCTGAGCTCAGCTGCTAACATTCAGGCTTTGCTCTTGTGCCCTCCTGCCTCCCCTTGCGTGCAGTTTAACTTAGGGCACTGCTGTGATGGTGGTCTTCTCTCAGAATTACCCCCAAGCTGACTATCGACAGCTGCCTGTTGTTTCTGAATTAATCCCAGGCCAGAGCTGTGGTTCAGAACAGAGTGAGAACAGACACATCCTCAGATCTAGGCACCCAGAGCTGGGAAGGGCCTTGTTGATGAGCTGAAGACCCCAAGGCCCAGAAAGGTGAAATGACTTGCCCAAAGTCACAGGGAGCCCTTGGCAGAGTGGAACATGAACTTCTAAAATTTGATGCCCTATTTAATCTTCTTTCTCTGTACTGTGATGCTTCCTGAAAAAAAGTGGGGTTCTTACTTCCCAAAGAGTGAAAACTCTGCATCTTTTTTTTTTTTTTCCCTTTGGTTCCAGGAAAGGCCCCGGAATTCGTCTTTTAGTCTTGAGATTGCTTTCCTTCAAACCTGGCCTTCCTTGCCCTATCTTTCATCTTTGGCCGCCAGGAATCTGGATGAGAGCATACATTTGGGAGAGAGGTCTATGCTTGGGGTCTTCCAATGCTCTTAAGTTTGGTCTGTGGCTTTCCCTTTCCATGGCAGGGTCCTCAGGAACCTCCTGAAAGGGTTTGCAAAGCTGTTACGTACCTGCATTTTTCTAGGAGGAGGATCCACATATTTCATTTGATTCTTACCTGACTCAAGTAAGGAGAAGAACTACTGGGGGTGGGGGTAGTGGAGTTGGATAGGGGGTTGGCTGGCACTGGAGACTAGCATAATACCCTACACCTGAGTTGGCTTTGCAGTTTATGAACTATTTCACACAGATTATTTCATCTGCTTTTTATAATACCCTGTGAGGCTGTTGTTGTTATTCCCATTTTGCAGATGGGGAAACTGAGCCTCCATGGTTACTGCCATGCCGCAGTCACAAGTAAGTAGTAGAGCAGGGATCAAATCTGGTGTCCTTAGTTGACGTGGTCCACCACGGCACATCATCATTGCACTTGTGTGAGTGGAGGACCTCGAACTTTTTGGGGCTGCTTCTTTCTTCTCTTTTCTTTTCTTTTTGGAGCTCCTTCTCCATGATATCCACTGCTGGCTTATGTCCAACCATGGCGCCAGACCTAAGTGCTAACTTACCCGTGGGCGGGATGGATAAAGTATGGGAGGCAGTTATCATAACAGTGATATGTGGACTGGGGCCAGTTTGGGATGATTTCATGAAAGAGGTGAATTTGAGGGTAGGTCTGGGGCTGTGGCAGACCTGGCAGAGGTTTTCAGTTGGGACCATGGCCCAAAAAGGGTGAAGGGGAAATTGTGTGTGCTTGGTCCGGGGTGGAGCTAACCAAGGAGGTTGGGTGGATCCTGCAGTCAGACGGGGCTTCTCATAGTGACTGGGCTCTTTCTCTGGCCAGCTCTGTGCTACACCCTGGGGCTGCAACCGTGAACAGGCACAGCCCTCCTGCCTTCAAAGAACCCACTGTCTCGCGGGAGAGGCAGGCACTTAAACAGTTAAATTCAGCATGTGTGGTGAGCGCAGTGCTGGAGAAAGTTGCCTTCCAGACAAGGGCCACCTGCTGTAGCCTCAGAGATCAGAGAGGGCTTCCTAAGGGAGATGATGCAGGAGCTGAATCTGAATGTATGAAAAGGAATTAGCCAGGAGAAGAGACCGGAGAAGGACCTTCAGGGGGAAGGGATGTGGGCAGAACGGCGTGGAGGCCCGAGGCTGCCTGGTGGAGGAAGGGGCTGCCCCAGGGCAGTCAAGCACAAGGCCGAGAGGCACACAGAGCCCCGCTCTGAGGAGCTTGTGAGCCTGGCTGAGGATTTCACGTTTCAGCATGGAGGACAGGACGTTAAGCAGAGTCGAGGCACTCGGCCATGGGCCAGAAGGGAGCATGACTGGGAGCCAGAGGCGGCCTCTGGGCTGATGAGGCAACAGGCAGCTCCATGCAGCGTTCAGGTCCCAGGGGACGAGACATATGGGGACGAGGGAAGGCCACGTATTAAAAACGTTTGGGGAGTAAAGTCGGCCGCGATTGCTTAGCTTTGGGGGATAAGTGGGGAGTCCCAGTGACTCCCAGGCTTCTGGCCTTGTGGACTCAGTGGATGGCGGCCTTTACTGGGCAGTGCCCTTCTGGTGGCTGGAGCAGGTCTGCTCTGGTGGGGGTGAGGAGGATTGTGGTGAGTTTAATGTTAGCCTTGGTGAGTTTGAATGGCTGGTAGGATAATCCAGTGGAGCTGTCTTGCAGACAATACAGTGCTCGTGGGAGAAGCCTGAGGAGGAGATGTGGGCAGGAGCTACAGTTCTGGGAGTGGGGAATGGTCTGCTGCTGAACGTGACTGCCGTGGGGACTGCTGTAGACAATAAGAAGACCTCTTCCTCCCATTGTCAGAGAATCCTTTGTCACGCCGGGCCGCTGTCATCAGGGAAGCCAGGCGGGGATGCTGTGTCATGCTGGAGGCCCGGCTGGCAGAATCCAGCAACAGCCAGGAGCGCGCTTCAGCTGGAAGCCTTCAAGTGAGTTAGGGGAGAGGCCTTGTCATTTTTAACATCCCTGGTTAGCAGAGCCCTTCCCAGGCCCTCAGGGCGTAAGTAAAGGGCAGGGGAGACCTGGACCTCTGCCCAGGAGAAGGCAGTCTAGTTGGGAGACAAGATGTGGAAATATGAAACCACTAAAAGTCTGGAATAACCTGGACAAAGAGTGGGCTGCAGATGAAATGCAAGAGGCCTGCTGGTACTTCTCTTCCTGCCATGCCGCATTTTTACAGGGCTGCTGTGTTTTGGGCAGAGTGCCAGTCTTTTCATTTTTGAATGCTCGGACCTACACAGTAGGTGTTCATCCTGCGTATTTGGATCTGCAGGGATGTGGCCAGAGTTTGTTGTTTGGGGTGTGGGGTGAGGTCAGCCAGAGAAGGTTCCCGTGAACAAGTCCAAAGAGGGGATTCCAACACTGATTTGGAATATTTTTAGTATCATAGCGGAGTAAAAATCTCGAAAACCTTCCAACTACCAAGCACCTAGAAGTGCTGTATGAAATATAACTAGCATCCTTTCAAAGAAGAGCTGAGCTCCTCGAGTGTAAGAGAAATCCCCAGGGAACTCCAAAGTGTAAGCTTGCACTGACGCTAGGCCAGGCCTGGGGGTGGGTTTGGCTGTGGGCGTGTTGAGGGGTCTCAGACCCAAAGGCAGCTGAGCCCTTGGCATTGCCTCCTCCAGGGTCCAAGGTGAGACTGGGAGTTGGCATGGAGGGCCCTGCCTGAAACGGGCCCCTGCAAAGGTGTGCAGGCTTGGAGAGAGGATGGAATAGACGTCCACCCAGTGGCATGGAAGCGGGAGAGGGGGAGCTTGTCCGTCTTGGCCTGGATCTGGGGTGGGGAAGAATCTTCCCTGGAAACTTGAAACCTCAGGCCTGTTGTGGCCTTGGATGACCACTACACGTGTGGTCCAGGAGTCCCCAGGGAATTAGCACATTAAAGCCTTTGGGGGCCGGGGTCTTCCTGCCTGTGGGCTCCAGGATCTCATGAGTGCTGGAAGATTCTGGGGTTCTTCACCCTTCACTGACTTGGGTCTCCACCTTGGAGAGATGCTGCAGGACCCGGGGGATGAGGGGGTGCTGAGTGAGGAGAAGGAGAAAGAGACCTTGGCAGGAACCTTTGAAAAGGGCCTTCATGACACTTATACACTGCTGAGGGCGTGTGCATGGCTGTGGAGAAGGGCTGCATCTGCCCGAGGGCTTCATCTCTCAGCAGAAGCCTGCAGACGGGCCTGTCCGGGAAGGTCAGACCTTCTCCCCCCGCTGTTGACTCAGGCCAGGTCTTTACAGACAAGGCGTCTGTCCAGGTTCCTCCTCAGGGTGGCTGTGCAGATTCCAGCAGCTCCGGGTCCCTCCAGACTGTGTGCCACATCATCTGCCCTAAGCCCAGAGGCTTGAGTACCTCGAATTTCAAACTTGGGAGACACCTTAGAGGTCACCAAGTGGGTCTCCTACCAGGTGTGGGAATCCTGTCTCCACCAGCACTCGCTCAGAGGCTTCCCGTGGCCGGGAGTACGTGGCTTCACGAGGCAGTGCCTTCCCTCATTAGAAGGCTTTTGCAGCTGGAAGGCCTCCTGTGAGCCTCAGGCACTGCCCGGCTATTTCCACCCATCGCCCCTTCGGCCATGGGCTATGGTGAGAGATGCGTTGGAGGCCTTTCACCATCTTGCTCGCTTTTGCTGGAAGGGCCTTAATTTGTCGAGCTAAGATTCTGTGAGAATCCAGCCAACTTCCATCCTAACTTCCTTAGCAAAGAGGGAGATTTTGAAGATGAGATGTAAGGTTTGCTGAGCTGGCTGTGATGCAGAAGTTCTGAGAAGCTTTGGCTCAGTGCTTTTCAGATTCCAGACTAGAGAAGCAAGTTCCTTCCTCCAGCACCCAGAATACATTTCAGTTTGTAAGTGAGTGACTCAGGAATCTGATGCAGGGAGCTGACGTTTATTGAGTGTCTGTTAGGTACTGGGTACAGTGCTAGGTGTTGTCGGTATGTGTTACTAAATAAAAGTAACTTCTGGGGCTTCCCTGGTGGCGCAGTGGTTGAGAATCTGCCTGCTAATGCAGGGGACACGGGTTCGAGCCCTGGTCTGGGAAGATCCCACATGCCGTGGAGCAACTAGGCCCGTGAGCCACAACTACTGAGCCTGCGTGTCTGGAACCTGTGCTCCGCAGCAAGAGAGGCTGCGATAGTGAGAGGCCCACGCACCGCGATGAAGAGCGGCCCCCGCTCGCCGCAACTAGAGAGAGCCCTCGCACAGAAACGAAGACGCAACACAGCCAAAAATAAATAAACAAATGTGGGGTTTCAAAAAAAAAAAAAAGTAAATTCTGTGAGGGAGAGAGAAAGGGCAGCAGAGCCGGGGAAATGCCTTACTGTAGTTGTGACAATTGAGCCCTAAAGTTATTCAGAAAGAATGTGTGTGGTTCCATCCGGGAGTGGGTGGGGCAGGCATTCCTGTGCTATTCCCTTATAGGGCCTTCCTCTGGGGTAGGCAATGTCATGATCTCACCACGAGCTGAGAACCCACAGGCCTTTGCCGTATTCATGGGTCATTTGCTGAGATGCTTACAAGTTTGAACCATGAGATCAAGAAGGTGGCCTTCTGGACAATCCACATCTTGTGTCACCAAACAGGATGGTGTTGACAATGACAGTGTTTTTCCCAGCGTGCAAGGGGGGAGCTTGTCTGTCTTGGCCTGGATTTGGGGTGGGGAAGAATCTCCCCTGGAAACTTGAAACCTCAGACCTGTTGTGGCTTTGGATGGCCACTACATGTGTGGTCCAGGAGTCCCACTGGTGTCTGTCTGCAGGGCCCCGGGCTCTTTGAGGAATCCTTTGCATTCACAGGTTGGCTGGCATCTGTGACGTTCATATATTTGACAGGTGCCGTGTTGTGTTATGAGGAGCGTGAGTTGCCTTTGTCGCGAGGTTGCATCAGCCAGCTGGATACCCGGATGTGCGCTCCTGACAGGGCCTGGTGGTGAAGGGCAGGGATTCTGGGAAAGTACCCAGTTTCTCCTCTTCTCCCTCCAAAAATTGTTCTTTATGCTCACATTCTACTGGTTTGCCTCAAACCTTTTTCTTTTTTGCGGTACGCGGGCCTCTCATTGCCATGTCCTCTCCCGTTGTGGAGCACAGGCTCCGGACGCGCAGGCTCAGCGGCCATGGCTCACGGGCCCAGCCGCTCTGCGGCATGTGGGATCTTCCCGGACCGGGGCACGAACCCGTGTCCCCTACATCGGCAGGGGGACTCTCAACCACTGCGCCACCAGGGAAGCCCTGCCTCAAACCTTTTACCCTAAGCCTGTTACCTCCGTTAACATTTGGTTTGGTTTAGCGGACATGCGTCAGATGCCTGAAGTGGGTCGGAGGAATTCAGACGAACCTGGCAGGGTCCCTACTTCCTGTCTTCATCTTGGTGGGGAAGACAGAATGGCCACGTTTGTGTGGTGTGAGAAGTACTGGGTAAAGAGCAAAAAAAAGTGTGCTGAGGCAGCCAGAAGTAGGATGACTATAATTTTTTGTCCAAATGGAGGCACTTTTGAGAGTGACAGGGAGTGCCGTTAGTAATCATGCCAGGACACAGATATAAACTGGGACTGTCCTGGGCAAATGGGGGCTTATGGCCACATGAGCCAGGGAGGGCGAGTGCATGTGTCATCAGTCCTTTGTGCTACAGGACACACGTAGACCTAATGGAGGGGAGGGGCTTGGCTGCAAGAGAAACTGGCATCTGTTTCCTGTTTTTCTGGGGCTAGAGAGGAAAGCTTTATCTGTGGGGACTGTGGACTGAGAACTCTGATGGGTCTCAGTTTACAGCCACAAGATTCTATCTTATATATCTCACTATGATCTCAGTGTTGGGGTTGGAGATGGAAGTTTGGGGAGATGAAAACCACCTGGTTTGTAGGATGTTATTGGCTGCAGGTAAAAGCACTAGACTAACAGTGGCTTAAAAAACAAGATGTTTATAGACTTATCTAGCCAGAAGTCTGAATGTAGGGGTTCTAAAGTTGATTAATTCAGTGGGTCAGTGATAATTTTAAGGACTCATTCTAACCTTCCAGGCAACCATTTACAGCACATTGGCCTCTGGCTCAGGCTTGACCCCTCATGGTCACAGCATGGCTCCCACTGCTCCACACATCACATTCTCACGTAACTGTATTGGAAGGCAGGCAGGAAGGTGAGTTTCTCCTTGTGTCTTAAAAAAAATTTTTTTTTCTACTTGAAGTATAGTTGATATATAATATTATATAAGTTACAGGTATACAATATAGTGATTTACAATTTTTAAAGGTTATGTTCCATTTATAGTTATTAAAAATATTGGCTATATTCCCCATGTTGTACAATATATCCTTTAATTTGTTTTATACATAATAGTTTGTACCTTTTAATCCCCTGTCCCTATAGTGCCCTTCCCCACTTCCCTCTCCCCACAGTAACCACTAGTTGTTCTCTGTATCTGTGAGTCTGCTTCTTTTTTGTTATATTCACTGGTTTGCTGTATTTTTTAGATTCCGATATAAGTGATATCATGCAGTATTTGTCTTTCCAAGTCCATCCCTGTTGCTGCAAGTGGCAAAATTTCATTCTTTTTTATGGCTGAGTAGTATTCCAGTGTGTATATGTATGTGTGTGTGTGTGTGTGTGTGTGTGTGTGTGTGTGTGTGTGTGTGTATGCCACATCTTCTTTATCCATTTATCTGTTGATGGACACTTAGGTTGCTTCCACATCTTGGCAATTGTAAATAATATCGCTATGAACATTGGGGTGCATGTATCTTTTCAAATTAGTGTTTTTGTTTTTTTCAGATATATAGCCAGGAGTGGAACTGCCGGGTCACATGGTGGTTCTATTTTTAGTTTTTTTTGTGAAACCTCCATACCATTTTCCACAGAGGCTGTACCATCCTTGTGTCTTAATGTATCAGGCATGAAAACCTTGCCCAGAATCCCCCTGCTAGAATTTACTATCAAGTT